AGCAAATTGTTTTTAAAACATCTCAAACTCATTCAGTTAAGTTTTACAGCTTAAGTGTGAAGTGTCTTTAACAATTTTTTTGTCATGAATTCTAAACTAGTCGCAGTTCTTCTAATAATTTCAATTTTATCATGTGAATCGTCAAAAATATTGTTCATGAATCCAACGTTCAGTAAATCACACACAATTCCACTTCAAGTTCTTGCAAAAATACTTGCGAATCGAGGACATGAAGTAACTTTTGTGTCTCCATTCAAACTTAATGAAAAAGTTGAGAATTATCGGGACATCGAATTGAAAGTCAGCAAGGAAAGTTTAAAGAATTTTGATGAATTTAGTAAAGCTATGAGTGAGAGTAATCCAATTGGTGTAATGACTGCTGCCACAAAAACAATCTTTAAACTTGGCAATGAGACACTTCAGTCACCAATGATAAGAAAATTAATGGAAACTGAAAATTTTGATCTTATTGTTGTTGGATGGTTCACAAATAACTTCCTAGTTGGACTTGCTGATCATTTTAAATGTCCATCAGTCATTTTCTTCTCTGGATCTATATTTTCATTACTTCATCAAATGGTCGGCAATCCATTGGCTCCTGAGGGTGCAGCACATGGAATGTCAGGAACAAAGGAAGTTAATACTTTTAAACAACGTCTTGGAAATTTTCTTGGTTATGCATTTGATGTTCTTGTGATAAGAACTTATTTCAATTATCGGTCAAAGACTGTCTATGAGTGAGTATTAATCATTATGACTTGATAATAAGGTTTGTTTGTATGATAAGATTATGAATGGAGCAAGTCATGGGTATGTAAGGTGATAGATTTAATAGATTAAGTAGCTAGATACTAACTTACTAGTTCACTTGTTGGGAGGACTGGCTATGAATCTTTAAAGTTCAAGATTGATCCAGCTTTAAATTAAAATCTTAATGTCATTCAATCGGCACACAAAACATCCAAAATTTCTTCATTTTATTCAATATCAAACTTTCTCAGTTTGAGTCTAGCTGATAAAATACATGAGCATGTATTCCACTCAACAAAGATGCATAAAAATTGAAGATTCGATTAGTACACATTGAAAGTTTAAAAAGATCGAACGGATCCCGCAATGACTCTAAAGTTCTTTATCGTTTTGCTAATTTTTGCTACTTCATCATCCGAAAGTTCAAAAGTTTTATGCATTCACACATCGTTTGCAAAGTCTCACGTAATGCCAATGCAGCTTCTAGCAAAAGAACTAGCAAATCGTGGACATGAAATTACATTCATCTCACCATTTCCATTGTCTGAGAAAGTGAATAATTATCGAGATGTTAAAATTGAAATTAGCGATCGGGATGCACAGCTTTTTGAGGAACTGAGCAAGAAATTCACAGCAGGTGCAAATATTTTTAAATTTGCAATTGAATTAATGAATAGCTTGCATAGAGTCAGTAACGACACACTGCAATCTTCATGGATGAGAGAAATGATGGCAACAGAAAACTTTGATCTTGTCTTAAGTGGATACTCAATGAGTGAATATCAACTTGGTCTTGCTGATCATTTTAAATGTCCATCAATTGTATTCTGGTCTGGACATGTCATATCATCACTTACTAAGATGGTGGGCAATCCATTATCACCTGAAGCGGTACCTAATCCAATGATGAGCAGGAAGGAAATGAGCTTTATTGGTCGCGTTAAAAATTTATTGCTTAATGGTTTAGACTTGTTTGTAATTAGAAGTTACTTTAATTATCGTTCAAAGATTATTTATGAGTGAGTATTGGTTGAGATATATCAGGTGTAGCATTGTTACTGTGTATTTTGAAGTTTATTTTGAACTCAGATTGTCATTAAATGGAGTGTATTAAGCGCTGAATCCAAGGGCTAACCCAGGGAAACTTCCTTAGTCTCTCAATTAAAGCTTTTTTAACACCATAGAAACTTTACAAAAAAAGACTCTTTACCTAATATAAATTAAGCAGTCCATAGAACCAGGATGTCTGCAGACGATTCACTTTTTCATGATTCAAAAGCCCGCAATTATTATGTAATTACCAATTAATGAGCCTAAAGAATTCGAAAACATGTGGAGGCTGTTTTAATGCATGAATGGAAACCTAATCAAAGTCATTAGCCATTTAAATCTTTTTTCGTACAGTAAGAACATTAAGTTCTAACTCAACTTCATCGTTTATAAGCATACACAATTTTATAAAGAGTTTCGTACTTACTCTCACGGCTACTCACACCAAACAAACAAAATTCAATTGACGACCTTGGGACACACAATAAAAAAATTGTTTTGCCGGTCAATTATTTGAAATGGCATAGAATCTTTATATATTCAATTAGTTCTAATGGGTTTAAATGAACATCAAATATTAATTTTTTCTCATAACACATTTGCATGCTGCATTGAATTTGTTGATATTAATTATATTAGCTTCTATTATTCAGATGACAGATTAGGTGGAAATTTCAGATAGTTTTGATAAATATTAGTCACAACCGTTCAGGATGTAGCTAGGATCAGTAGCAGGCGCGTAGCCAGGAGGAACTCCCCCCCCCCCCCTTAAACGTTTTGAACCGCAGCAAGTGCACGGTCTGAAAAGGCTTAAGAGGGAGACAAGACCCTCCTGGTTACGCGCTTGATCAGTAGTCTAGTTCTATGAACACACTTTAAATGAGACCATTGGATCTAGACTCCTTAAAGTGAAATATATTATGAACAAATTAGCAACTCTTGCATCATAACAATTTGATTCAATTATCTAAAAATCAAAATCTCAAAATTGATAATATATTTCCATTTTTGGAAGTCTCCTCATATCTCTAATACTCTTTGTGTTGGTATCAATCTAAATTTGATATCAGCACCAATTTACTCACAATTTTAGATTCAATGAGAACTGAATTATATTTGAATCGCTCTCAGTTTTACTTTATATTTCAAAAGAAAGTGAAGTGATTGCCAGCAAAAAATATGAATTTAAATTTATTAGTGTTGCTTCTCATAGCAGGAACTGAATGTTCAAGAATTCTATTCATTCATCCATCGCTCAGTAGATCACATGTGATTCCATCACAAATATTAGCTAAGTTGCTGGCTAAAAAGGGTCATGAAGTAACTTTTATCTCGCCATATCCACAAAGCAAGGCAATTGAAAATTTTCGTGACATAAAGATAGCAGCTAGTGAAGAGGAAATGAATATTTTGAATGAAATGCAAAAAGAAATGAGCGAAAGTAAAATTTCATTCTCAATCATGACAAAGGCAATGGCAATGTTACAAGATTTTGGAAACGACACACTTAATTTGCCTGAAATAAAGGATTTAATGAAAAATGATAAATTTGACTTAGTCATAGTTGGTTATATTATGAATGAATATTTTTTGGGTTTAGCTGATCATTTTAAGTGCCCTTCGATCGTTTTCTTTCCTGCATTTCCTATCTCAGCGCTTCTTAAAATGGTTGGAAATCCATTGTCGCCAGAAGGATCGCTACATATTTTAGCTAATTTAAGGACTTTGGATAGCTTTGTGGATCGTGTGCTGAATTTTATTGTTAATGCTGTAGATTTGGTGTTGATGAAAAATTTCTTTGATTACCAAGGAAAGGCTGTGTATGAGTGAGTAAAGTAATAAATGATAATAGTTGTCTTGATAATTAGGATGGCCATCTGATAAGATTCCAGAGAGTATGTTAAAATTCTTAAAACTTGGTTTTAACTTATGAGAATTTCAATATTAAACTGAAATCATATCCGCTCTTTAAAATTGTTTACTTCTCACTAGATACTAAACCAAAGATCAAAAAATAAAATATGTCTTGAGAGTCAAAAAGTTTCTCAGTTTCATTTCGCGCTTGCTGTGTGTGGATCGAAAATAAAAAGGCAAAGATGAATAAAATGCTATTCGGAATAATTTTAGCAATCTTGATTGCGTCATCAGAATGCTCAAGAATTTTATTCATGCAGCCATCGTTCAGCAAATCACATGTGATGCCACTTCAAGCCTTAGCTAAGGAACTAGCTAATAGAGGTCACAACATCACATTTGTGGGTCAATTTCCATTTTCAAAGCTGGTTCAAAATTATCGTGATATAAAAGTTGAACTAAGTGCTGAATATAAAGAATTGGCTGATGAAGTTGGTAAAGGAATGGCGGGAAGCATGAATTTATTTAAAATGTTTCCGATTCTTAAAAAATTAAATTACGGACACGGCAATGAAACATTACAGTCAGCACCAATACGACAAATGATGAAAAAAGAAAAATTTGACCTTGTGATAGTTGGATACTTTGTAACTGAATATCTGCTTGGCTTTGCTGATCATTTTAAATGTCCATCAATTATGTTTTCTTCTGGAAGTCATATCTCAGCGTTAAATAAAGCTGTTGGTAATCCATTGTCTCCAGAAGGATCGCAGAGTCCATTATCTCAAACCAAGGATTACGGTATTGTGAGTCGTGTCCAAAATTTTATAATTTATGGATTCGAACTTCTTATTACCAGAATTTATTTCTATTATCAATCAAAAGCTGTTTATGAGTGAGTATTGTTGACTTTTTGATCAAAATTGAGTTCTTAAGAATCGATAGAAAACTTATAAGCTAGTTAATCAATGAGTTTAGCTCAGGAAACTAATTGTTATGTTGTTAATAATGCACTAGTTTGAGGGTAAGCACTATTTCGCAATGTGATTACACAGTCAACTAGAACTCTATCGTAAGTTTGATTCTCACTAGAAGCTGATCTCTAAATCATTTCATAAAGTGTTGTAGGTATGACAATTAATTACTTAATGCTCACGAAATCAACAAATCTATTAATGCACTCAAGTTGGTCATTTTGCACAGTATTAGTGAACTTATCTTATTGATTATTTCAATTGTGTATGTGAGTAATGATCGATAAGATTGAGTATCACTGAATTTCTGTATATGCACTCATGAGCCCTTCATTGGTTTCAGTATATTTCCAATATCCTATCTAAAGTGATCGGTTGTTCAAAAATGAATACAAAAGTGCTAGGCTTTATTCTGTTGATGACTATTGCATCATCTAAATGTTCTAGAATTTTATTTATTCAGCCCTCATTTAGTAAATCACACGTAATGCCACTCCAAACTTTAGCTAAAGAATTGGCAAATCGAGGACATGAAATTACTTTTGTTTCTGTATTTCCGTTTGATAAAAAGATTGAAAATTACCGCGACATAAAACTGGAAATTGAGGGCGAATTTAAAGTTTTATTTAATGAGGCTTCTAAAGGAATGACAGGAGGAGTTCAATTCTTTAAAATGTTTCCAATATTTAAAAAACTGGTTTTTGGATACTCTAACCACACAATCAACTCACCAGTAATACAAAAATTGATGAAAGATGAGAAGTTTGATCTTGTTGCTGTTGGTTACTTCTTATCGGAATTTCTACTTGGATTTGCTGATCATTTTAAATGTCCATCAGTTGTATTTGCATCTTCGAGTCACGTTTCTTCATTGATGAATATTGTTGGAAATCCTGTATCACCTGAGGGAACATTCAGTGCTATGTCCAACTCTAAAGAATCAAATTTCATAAACAGAGTCAAAAATTTCTTAATTTATGGAGTAGAGTTTGTGTTATTTAGAGGCTACTTTTACTATAAATCAAAGAATGTCTATGAGTGAGTAAATTTTGATTTTCGAAAATTAATAATGAGTCTTAGGGAATATAATTGGGGCTCGGTCTGACTTAAGTTATCAAATTTTGCAATGATGCAAAGATTTTTGCTTTCTAAAATGTTTGAATTCATTGAAGAGCACTATTTGAATTGATTTTGTCCATGCCTAAAATTTGAGGCTCAGTGGTGCAGCCAGAAGAGAATTTTAAAGTCCACAGGAGCACACATCTTCAAATTACTACAATCATATGATATTAAGTACTGATATACATATGTGCTTATCTTTGAATGTGTCTAGTGCCTTTCTATAATTACAATCAGTATATTTCCAAACCTCGATGTGAAGTGACCGAAACTTAATTTTATAATGAACGGGAATGCGTTGGGAATATTTATATTAATCGTAATTGCGTCTATTGACTGTTCAAGAATTTTGTTTGTGCAGCCATCAATGAGTAAATCGCACGTAATGCCACTACAAACATTAGCCAAAGATTTAGCAAAAAGAGGACATGAAATCACATTTTTATCAATTTTTCCATTTGATAAGAAAATTGAAAATTATCGAGACATAAAACTTGAAGTTAAGGGCGAGTATGTAAATGTATTTGAAGAGGTTGGAAAGGCAATAAGTGAAGGAGCTGGTTTATCAAAAATGATACCACTGATGAATAAAATGATTTATGGATTTGGCAATGAGACTATTCAGTCACCCACAGTTCAAAAAATTATGAATGAAGATCAATTTGACCTTGTTGTCGTCGGTTACTTTGTATCTGAATTTCTTCTTGGATTCGCTGATCATTTTAATTGTCCGTCAATTATTTTCTCATCTGGAAATCATGTAGCATCTCTAAACTTTATCGTTGGTAATCCTTTGTCACCGGATGGTACATTTGGTGATGTTACTGATTCAGCAGTTGGAAATTTCATAAATAAAGTCAAGATTTTTCTGGTTTATACAATTCAGTTGGCTGTTTTTAAAGGACTTCTTTACTATCGATCGAAAAGTATTTATGAGTAAGTTGAATTTATTACGAGACTAGGTAAATCAGTCAACTTCGAGCTCTGTAGATACAAAAAGGCTTGAGAGTTCAGTTGATACTATTTAATTCAGCATTTAAAGCACCAACACAAACATTTTATACTTAAATTGTGTTGACAACGATAAGATTTTTGTATCTGGAAAATTAAAAACAACACAAAACTTTGCCTGTATGTCCAAAATATTCTCAGTATATTTTTATAAATAGCAGTAAACAGATCCAAGACAAAGCGATGTGCTTAAAAGTTGTGTGTCTTATTTTAATTCTAATTATCGGAACTGAATCTTTAAAAATTCTAATAATTAACCAATCATTTACAAAAGCTCACATAATTCCTCTACAAATCCTTGCAAAAGAACTAGCTGGGCGAGGTCATGAGATCACATTCGTGTCAATGTATCCACTGGATCATTCAGTTCCAAATTACGAAGACATAAAAGTTGAAGTGACTCAAAAAATATGGAAAAGCATTAATAAAATCAACAAAGCACTTACAGAAAGTGAAAATGTCTTCAAAATATTTCCATTACTTAACGAAGTTGTTTTTGTTTACGGCAACAAAACACTTCAGACGCCGGCTGTAAAAGTTTAAAAAACAGAAACTTTGACCTTCTAATTGTCGGTTATTTTATGAACGAATATCTTCTTGGCTTTGCTGATCATTTTAAATGTCCATCGATTATGATGTTTGCGGGAATTCATGACGCACTTTGTAATGGAATTGTTGGAAATTCATTATCAGTTGAGGGCTCGCCACATGGGCTTTTGGAGTCTAAGAATATGAACTTTATGATGAGAGTCAAAAATTTCTTACTTTATGGATTCGAGCGAGAATTATTAGGAAGATTCTTTAAGTATCAGTCTAGGAAGATTTATGAGTGAGTATTCTGAATAATTAAGGTTATTGCAAAGGTAGAATCTTTGTTGCTGTCATTCGAAGGGTCCTGGTCAACACTTAGTCTCATTTGTAGGGCAAGCTATGTTACCCAAGTGTAGGGTTGTCTGATAAACGTTGTCATAGACTAATTTTCAATTTAAATTTTACATTCATACAAATATAATTCAATTGTGTGAACGTCAAATGATAAGATATTGCTACACTACACAGCACTACAACCGTAATTTTTCTATAATAATTGTTTAAAAGTCGAAGTCACGCTCTCAGTTTCATATCATTCCTCTCCGTGATCAGATCGAAAAAATAGAATTGCGATGAGTGCGAAATTTATAGCAATATTTATACTAACAGTGTTTGCGTCATGCGAGTGTTCAAAGATCTTATTCATGCATCCATCGTTCAGTAAATCACATGTAAAGCCACTGCAAGTATTAGCAGTTGAATTGGCTAATAAAGGACATGAAATTACTTTTGTTACAATGTATCCATTAGATAAGCCAGTTAAAAATTATCGTGACATAAAAATAGAAGTAAATGAAGAGGATTCAAAAGTTTATACTGATATTGGAAAGGCAATGACTGCCGGTGAAAATATATTCAAAATGATTCCAGCTCTTGACAAAGCTATTTTTGAAAATGGCAATAAAATTCTTCAATCAGCAGCAATCAAAAATTTAATGAATAATGGACAGTTTGACCTTGTTGTGACTGGTTACTTTATGAATGAATATTTGCTCGGCTTTGCTGATCATTTCAAATGTCCATCAATTATATTCTTTTCTGGACCTCACGTCTCGTCACTTAATGCAATGGTTGGAAATCCTTTGTCACCAGAGGGAACTGCTCACGGTTTATTACAAGCAACATACATGAATGGTTTTACGCAAAGGCTTAAAAATATCTTGTTCTTTGGAGTCGATTTTATTATGTTCAGAACATTCTTTTATTATCGAGCAAAAAGTGTCTATAAGTAAGTATGAGATTGTAGTTTTTGGGGAGCATCGAGGAGGTGTATCAGTAAGTGTTACTCCTACTCTACATCTTGTTATTTATTTCCAAGGCATAACATCATTTTTTTACTTCCACATATCATCTTCAAAATAATATAATCATAAGAATAGCTGATAACATGTTTCCATAAAAGGATAGACTGTCAATCAAAATTGCGCCACGTGCTAGAAATTAACAAAATTTCACTGATAAGATAAGGATTATTGAGCATTTGTGATAAAATTATGTAACGGGTAAACAAAGAGATTAAGCAATTTTGTACTGACTGTAGATCATTCAGTATTGCTTTGTAAGTTGTCGTAAGCAATAAAACCGAAAATCCATAATGTGGCTCAAAATTATCGGAATTTTGATTATAGGATCACTTAAATCCTGCGAATCCTCAAGAATTCTATTCATAAATCCAACAATCAGTCAATCAGATCTAATTCCATTACAAGAACTCGCTAAAGTTCTAGCTACACGCGGGCATGAAGTTACATTCGTTTCTTTATTTCCATTAATTGAGAAAATTCCAAGTTTTGAAGATATTGGAATTAAAATCACTAAAGAAGACAATGAATTACTAGAGATTGTTTTAAAGCAAATAAGCGCTGGCCAAGCTCCATTTTCAGTCATTACAACAATCACCAAATTTCTATCTAAAATTGGCAACGACACATTGCAATCAAATGAAATTAAAACCTTAATGGATACACGAAAATTTGATTTAATGATCATGGGATATTTTATGAATGAATTCCTACTCGGACTTGTTGATCACTTCAAATGTCCATCAATAATATTCTTTTCTGGACAACACATTTCAACTCTCAATAAAATTATTGGTAATCCAATTTCTCTGGAAGGAGCTCCATTGGCAATGCTGAATATAAAAGACATGAGATTTTTGGTTCGAGTTAAGAAATGCCTTGTTTTATGCGATTGAAACTGTTTTGTTTGGATATTACTATCAATATTACTCAAAAGCTGTTTATAAGTGAGTATGGAATATTTGGATATTCTCAAGGACATCGACTCTTGCTATCTTATCGGTATACTGATAAAAGCTTTTGTCAGCATATATTGCAGTTGGTGGATAAAGTCTATTGCAGTTCTTGTCTATCTCTATTATTTATCTCAAATCCTCAATAACAACACTGCTTAGTACAATCGTCTAGTCAAGTAGCAATGTTTATTTCTCTTAAAATTCCTGTGCCTCCTAACTTCATAATTTATCAACAAATTCCCGAAAAATCTCCATATGACCTATCGACAGCATGTTAATACATTGTAGCATGTAGAAGAAAGTAAAATTTAATTGTATTAAATCATCATCTCGAGATGTGAGATTCGCTAGTGTGAGTACAATAAGCAAAGGAAAAATCTTTTTTTGCTGCATGTTTTCCACAAAAGATTATTTTAAAATCGACTTCAGTGTGTTTTGAGTATTTATAGAGAGTTGGATGAAAAAAAAAGTGATTCCGCACGATGTGTCTAAAATTTTTTGGAATCTTTCTGATATCAGTGATTGTGGCTTGTGAATGTTCAAAGATTCTTCTCATTCATCCGACATTCAGTCGATCTCATGTCATTCCATTACAAGCACTTGCAAAACTATTGGCACTAAAGGGCCACAACATCACGTTTGTGTCACTGTATCCATTTGATAAGAAAATTGATAATTATCGGGACATAAAAGTTGAGACTAGTAAAGAAGATAAAGAGTTATTTGATGAGATTGGAAAGACGATGAGTGACAGAAAAAGTCCATTTAAATTAGTGTCAATAGCCTCAAAAGCTACATATAAAATTGGAAATGAGACATTACATTCCGAAAGGATACGGCAGTTAATGGACAATGAAACTTTTGATCTTGTTGTGATTGGATATTTCTTCAATGAGTTCCTACTCGGACTTGCTGATCATTTCAAATGTCCATCAATTTTACTATTTTCCGGATCATTTTATTACACATTAAACAAAATCATCGGAAATCCACTTCTACCAGAAGCAATTCCACATCCGATAATTAATGGAAAGGAATTAACATTCTTAATGCGTGTTTTCAATCTTCTACTTAATGCTGCTGACATATTTTTCACAAATTTTTATTTCTCGCCTCAATCAAGAGATATTTACAAGTGAGTTCTCACAATTGATGTGTCGGTGTCAGTTCATTTATAATTATTCAGGAATTTGGCATGTGAATAATGTGCTAGCTTGTGATGAATGTGTGAGACTAATTAGTAAACGATTTTATTAACTCATGAAATCAATTATTTGTCAGAGTTGGTGATATGAGTTTATGGAGCTAGGGCTTTTTGTAGGTGAATCTGCCAAGGCGAGATCTGAGCCTCTTAGGTCGAGCGGCTAGGCAACAGAATATCTTTAGCACTTTTTTATGAGGAAGTGGTTCGAATCCCAACAGAAGACGATCTAAAACATGTAGAAAGAGTGTTGTCACTATGACAAGGATTAGCTTAGTATTTACGACCATTAAATCTTAGGGTCGTTGTAGGATGAAATTTGGTCAATTTTAAACATTATTTTACTTCTAAGAACCAGATCAACATCTCAATTAGCCAGAAAATTGGCATCTCTTGAGTACACATAAGTCATATCATGAGGATACTTTTGAGGTTCAGTTACCAGCCCCACTCCAAAACTATGAGTCACATCTATAAGTCTGCCAAGTTTTGAACAAAATCAGCTTGAATTTTGAACTTAATTTTAATAAGTCTGCTAAAAAATCAACTCTGCAGCATGTAATTAATATTTTACTGTTTGTATCGCAAACTGTTCAGCAAGTTTATTATACCCTTGAAATTACATCAGCTGATGTGTATTTACTCGTTGAAAATCTCTAAAATTAGCTGCATTATAACTCATTGAAAATTGCTGAAAGCAGATATTAAACATATGGACATACTTTTTGGCACAAAACAATAAGATGATTTTTTTATATAATTTTTTATTCGATTTGAGAATTTAATTTGGTTGTCGGGATGAAAAAAAAATTATTTTTATCAATTTTTTTATCATTTTCTATGTCTGTGTATCTGCGAATATATTCCAAAAAATATCGCATAAAAAATATTCAAGAGCCGTTAAGTTCTCTCCGAAGAGATTAAAAATTGTGCGGAGAGAATGAAAACAAAAATGACCTTGACTCTACTAACACCTCCATGTACTGAACTATAGTTGTAAATAAATAATTGAGCGTGTATTTTAAATCAGATGTTTACAGCCGCATACTTTGTATTTTTTTAGTCAATTAATTTACACAAATATTCTTTTGTTTACTTACAGCTACAACTTCCCACCAGACCGTTATCGTTCATACGATGAAATGATCAGAAATGTCTCGTTAGTTCTTGTCAATACTCACTTTACATCATCAGGACCACGTCCACTATTGCCTAATCTCGTTGAAGTTGGTGGCTTGCAAGTCAAACCTAATCCTGCTCCACTTCCAGAGGTACAGTCTGCTCTTATTTTCAACATGACATTTAAATTAAAATTTTAATGTTTTCAGGACTTAAAAACATTCCTTGACGATGCCAAAGACGGTGCCATTCTCTTCAGTTTCGGATCAAATGCCAAAAGTATTTACATTCCTGAAGACAAACAAAAAATTATCCTCAAAGTCTTCTCAAAGCTCAAGCAACGCGTCATTATGAAATGGGAATCTGATGTTCTTCCTGGCAAACCTAAAAATGTTTTAATCAGCAAGTGGCTTCCACAAGACGACATTTTAGCACATCCAAATATCAAGGCATTCATCTCACATTGTGGATATGGTGGTGTCATTGAAGCTAAGTCAAATGGAGTTCCAATTATTGGAATTCCACTTGGTGCTGATCAAAAGGGAAATGCTGATAAGATTGTTGAAGAAGGATGGGCTGTGAGATTGGATATGACTGATATTACTGAGGAATCATTGACCAATGCACTTAAAGAGATACTCAGCAATCCAAAATATAGAGATATTGTTGGAAAACAAGCAATTTTGGCCAAGGATCGTCCAATGAATGCTCAAGATACTGCAGTCTACTGGGTTGAGTATGTATTGAGGTAAGTTGAAGAATTAATTGAAAAAAGACACAAATTGATGAATTAACAATCCACAGACACAATGGAGCTCCTCACTTGCACTATCCAGGAGCTGATCTCAACTTCTTCCAAGCCAATTCAATCGATGTGATCCTCTTCATCTTTGCCGTCATTTATGCAGCATTCAAAGTCATCAAACTCATTTGTGGATTCATATTTTGTAGAAGTAAAAAAGGCAGCAATGAGAAATTGAAAAGGAACTAAATGAGAAAGATTAAAATTTGTACAAAACTTATTGAAGCTTAAATAAAACTTTTATACGGAAGTAAAGAACATTTACACATTTTTATTGTCTGACTTGATAAATAAAACCTTTTTCAAAACATAATATTCGTGCTTTAAAAACCGGCTTATTTTCAGCACATGTATAATATTTCTATTGCTGTACATACATCAACTTTGGTTAAAAATGTACAAACTGTTAATGTGTGGATGATAAGAATACAAATACTGTCTTAATTCTGCTTCAAAAATATTTTTTGGAAGTCAGTGTTGTTTTGGACATCAAGCAGTTAAAAATGTACGTGAAATTTTCGTCGATAATTTTATTTCTTGCTATTGCATCATCCGAATGCTCAAGAATTCTGTTCATCCATCCATGCATAAGCAGATCCACAGTGCTTCCTCTACAAGTACTAGCTAAGGATTTAGCTAAGAAGGGGCACGATGTGACTTTTGTATCTTTATATCCATTTGACAAGAAAGTTGAAAATTATCGCGACATCAAAATTGAACCGAGTGAGGAAATAGCAAAATTCTATGAGGAAGGTGGCAAGAATGTTGTTGACAAACCAAATCCACTGAAGATGATGAAAATGTTTGATAAAGTTGCTTTTCAACTAGGCAACGAGACATTACAATCAAAGGAAGTAAGAGGCTTAATGAATGAGCAATTTGATCTTGTCATAACCGGCTACTTTTTAAATGACTTCTTGCTTGGACTTGCTGATCATTTTAAATGCCCATCAATTGTTTTCTTTTCTGCAAGTTTTGTATCACCAATAAATTTAATGGTTGGAAATCCATTGTCACCCGAAGGAGCACCTCATATATTCTCACAGTCTAATGAATTGAGTACATTGACCCAGCGAGTTAAGAACTTCTTGATGAATATTATTGACAGAGTTATTATCAAAAATGTTGCTTATTACAAGTCAAAGAAGATATATGAGTGAGTATTAAAAGACTAGATATATAGAGTAGTGAACTTTGAGCATTCTAGTTTTTTATATCAGACTTAATTAAGAACGATTGAGCCACAAAAACAAAGATGACCTTGAAAAACATTTATTTTCGTGATCTATGTTTGTATATGCCTAGAAACAAATATTAGTCATTGTGAGTACGATTTGATAAGAATCGAACCATCGATGTAAAGACTAAACTCATTATAACTTGATAAGATACCTCAAAACTAATATAATACAGACATATTTGACTCGGATAGATCGATATCAGCCAACCTGCACAAGCATTGTAATAATTTTAACCTTCTCATATATTCACAGATTCAACTTTCCACCAGATAAATACCGTTCTTATGATGAAGTGATTAGAAGTGTATCCTTGGTTCTTGTCAACACTCACTTCACATCATCTGGACCACGTCCACTATTGCCTAATCTCGTTGAAGTTGGTGGATTACAAATCAAACCCAATCCATCTCCATTACCAGAGGTAAAGTGTACTTTGAACTTAAACATATCATTTAAGTAATTTCAACTATCCTAGGACCTCAAAACATTCCTTGACGATGCCAAAGACGGTGCCATTCTCTTCAGTTTCGGATCAAATGCCAAAAGTATTTACATTCCTGAAGACAAACAGAAAATCATTCTCAAAGTCTTCTCAAAGCTCAAGCAACGCGTAATTATGAAATGGGAATCTGATGTTCTTCCTGGTAAGCCTGATAATGTGATGATCAGCAAGTGGCTTCCACAAAATGATGTCCTGGCTCATCCAAATATCAAAGCATTCATCTCACATTGTGGATACGGAGGTGTAATTGAAGGCAAATCAAATGGAGTCCCAATTATTGGAATTCCGTTTGTTGGTGACCAGAATGGAAATGCTGATAAGATTGTTGAAGAAGGATGGGCAATAAAAGTTCAGTTGGCAGATGTAACTGAGGAAAATTTAATGAACGCATTAAAAGAAATATTGAACAATCCAAAGTACAGAGATACTGTAAAAAAGCAAGCATTTTTAGCAAAGGATAGACCAATGAGTGCCCAAGATACTGCAGTCTACTGGGTTGAGTATGTTTTGAGGTAAGTTGAAGAATCAATTAATAAATTGCAGCTTTAAAGATGAATTTACAATCCACAGACACAACGGAGCTCCTCACTTGCACTATCCAGGAGCTGATCTCAACTTCTTCCAAGCTAATTCAATCGATGTGATCCTCTTCATCTTTGCCGTCATTTATGCAGTGTTCAAAGTCATCAAACTCATTTGTGGATTCATATTTTGTAGAAGTAAAAAAGGCAGCAGTAAGAAATTAAAAAGAAATTAATTTTTTGAAAATTTTATTTCAATTTCTGATTTCAATAAAACCTTAAAAAGCAGGTGCACAATTAAGTCTTTTACATTTAAGCTGTCTATTTCTACTGCATATACAGACTTGACATGAATTCCTGTAGATCATTCTAGGTATGCATTCCCATGTCTGCTCTCTGTCAATATCTTGCGGTAAAGTTGGCAACTGTACGATCGTCTCAGAGCTGAATAAAATTAAGAATAAATAAGAAGCAATAACAAAATCAAGAATTTCTCACATTGCAATGTCACCAAGCTCAGCTTCCAAGTCAGCGTCTGATTCTTCGATGTCACCCTCAACTTGAGGAGCTTCCTCGTCTTGTGCTAGTACTGTCTGATCTATAAAATTAGAAAACACTCAGACTGTAATTTGATCAATCAGTTTCATAAATTTCCGCATGAATTACAGCAAAATGCAGCTAAAAATAAAAGAACCACAAGCTTCATGTTGATTGTCTTAACCACTGTGTATCGTAATCGATTAAAAGATTTAAAACCTGAGACTGAGGAGACGAAGAAGAATGTTTGAGCTTTTATAGGTTCTCGTGTTTCCATTAAGCACTCAGCAACACATCAATTGACTTCAATTGGAATTCTAACATTCAGTCATTGTTTTTGGATAAGGTCATCGGGAAAGTTTAGTGATGGAATGGAATTCACGGAAATCGTCTGTTCAAATATTTTCATGGTTGTGCTTTGACTAGAGCTTTAATGCCTGATCTGGTACTTTCAAAAAAAAGATAAACAGTCACAGTCAATTTTTTGTTCGTACTCTGGAGAAGCGATTTAGGACTAGGGTACTCCGTGCAGTCATAGAACTTGCCCCTTAGTCTGATTCTTATCAAGATCTTACAACATTATTTTTGCACCGAATCCCATTGTATTGCCTTAAAAAATAGATAATCAGTTAAAAGATCCCATTTTGTGTTAAATATTAGACGACATTATTCTGGAAACTTGTAAATGATGTGCATCCAATCATGTGAAAGCTAATACTCTGCGGTTCCGCATTAAAATACTTAAGTTCTTCATAGAAATTCTATATATTGACTTCTCATGTGTGGTTTTAACTGTTAAATGATATTTCATGCATGAAGAATCTCACATCGATTTCAGTAGAAAATCCCTTAAAAATGCGCTTAAGCCTTCCAACCAACAAAATGATGAATATTTTCAAACTTTATTTTTGCAAATCTCACGTCTTTAAATTGAATGTGCACATAAAACCATCAGAACGAAGTTAACGAAGTAAAACTTGCATGACAAATGAAAGCTGCCATTTAATTCCGTTCGCACTTAAACTTTTCCGATGCAATTTATGTCGCGAAAAGGTTATACGATCACATAAAGTAGAAAGTTGAAATTGACACGTGCTCCAGAATGAATTGCAATTGAAACTTAAGGAATAAATTCTTGTGGAACGTTTATAAATTACTCAAGACTCTTTTTTGAGATTCTACAAGTGTCTTTCGATTGTAATGCATTTGATGATAGATTTACTGTCTCATTGGCTGTGCTACCCTGTTAAACTCATTGACCCTAATTCCTTGAAAAGTTGCAATTCATTCAGAAACATAAAGCATACATTCCCTCATCATATCCCTTAAAAAAATGTCATATACAAAGTTTCAAGATATTCATTGCATAATTGTCATAGTCTTCAAATGTTGATTGCAATTTCACATGCATGATAAGTTCACATGACTAAAAAGTATAGTCAAGCACTTCTAAAGCTTTGAGTCTTTTGAAATAAACTTCAAAGGAAATTGAATGGCACTATGTTTCTGTTTTATTTTTCCCTTGGAGCTAAAAGTCAATAATGCAGGTTGAATAAATATGAATGTTGAAGGCATGCATGAATATGACTTTAGCATAACTGTTTGAAATGACTGTTTTAGAGACGAGTAGAATTGTAGCAAGTTAAAGAGGTTAGGCGCTATGGGAAAATTTATTACGAAACTCAATCTCAAAGGAGGTATCAGGAACTTCAACCTGTTAGGTTTCCTCATTGGCTCTTCTTATGTCCCATGTTTAGATCCACTCCTCAACACTAAAACCTCACCTCTCAAGAAAGACCAATCTTAGCTATTCTCCTTGCAGGATATGTTCCAATTTAGCTAATACTGGATAGGCTCTGCGACATTGTTGAAGCTATGAAGAGGAACCTATTAAACAAATCAATAATTGTTCCAATTGAATATTCCAACAATCCAGTTAAAATAAGCACAAACTACATTTATATGCATACTAGACCACGATATATATAGACTCAAAAATTGAAAAGAATCATTATTATTGATGGTTATGACAGAATAAGATTCCCCTCAAAATAAAGAGACTTCTATGGATTGTATGTAGACGATAAGATATGACAATATGAAATTACATATAGGAACGACAGGCAGGCAGGCACAAGCGCAACGTAAGGAAAGTACACACTTGAGAATGTAAATCATCATAATAAAAGATTACGTAATAACAGTAACAATTTATTTTCAAAAGAAACTCCTCACCGTCTTTTTGGTATTGCCGCTTTACTGTATTGTCACCGCTCATGTGTTTGGAAATGAAAAAAAAAAGGCAACTTAACTCGACAATTTATGTATTCTAATATCAATTATTTTTATTAATATTGCGAACCATAAATATCAAATGGCATGCAAGTTACGGTCTTAAGCCGAGGAAAATGTTGGCAGATTAAAACGTCACTTGACATCACAAGAGCCATAATATCACTCATGACTGACAATAGATTTTCAATTTTCTAAATTACTATTATTATTGGCTTTTTATTTTCTCTCTCTTTTTGCCTTTTTTATGTCCATTCATTCTGCCTGCTTAGCAGGGGTGTAGCTAGAATTTGTTTTTTGAAGGAGAAGGTCTGTCAAAGAATTAAAGAGAATTAAGGAATTCCAAAATGAAATGGTCTTTCCCCACCCCCCTAACTGCACACCTGATGCTAAGACCCACTTAGTTCCACAAGTTGTGTGTATTTCATGCCGGGCGACATGTAAGTGAATATTGAATTTTTATATTTAAATGGAAGTAATCGTTGTTGTTATGCCTTTTTACACTTAATATATTTCAGCATGTAATATGAATTTACACCTAATAAGTTATCGATTTGTTCCTGTTTGAGCTGATTTTGCAGTTCAATGTGATTGGATGTAGTTGAAATTCTTTATGTTGAGCTTACCTTTTATGGATTTGTTACTTGAGGATTGTTATTGACATTATTAATGTTATGTTCTTATGGTTTAGTCGGGACCAGCTTATTATTAGAGTTTAATGGTCCATTAACTTATGATGTCTATTAAAATTAGAATTTTAAGACCCCATCCCTAAGTGAACCATCTTATAGTACTTAATGCTATTTTAAACATGTCACTAAGCACCGCTGCAAAGTAATAAGTTCATGCATTCAGTTTTCATTCCATTGATATTTAATAAATTGTGACTCAATTCAAAATTAATTGAAACTTTTTTATTTCTAAACTCAAAAATAAAAGCAAAACTTTTTGGTTCTATTAAAAATTTTTAAGACTGGTCAGTTGCTGATGAAAACTTTCTCATGCTTATCCGCATGAATATAAATCGACAAACATAAAATTCAAATTTACATAACTAAAAGCTCATATGTCAATACGATATTGAAAGGACTGAAAGGACACAAAAAAAGTTGTTGAGCGATGAGAATTTACACAGAAGACAAACTTTTTTTAATTGAAAACAGCTATTTTACAATAAACGAGAATTAAGGTCAGTCGTAGATTAAAATGTTCAACAACATATATCCCATTCTCGTTTACATTGAACATTCAGTACTGCCCAATGGGCATAGAATTTTTCACATTGAATGTTGCAATAAAAAAAGGAAGAGGAGAAATTAGGATGATGAGAAAAGTTTTGATTCTTTTGTGAGGAAAAAGTTGAAGAGTTTTTGTGTAAAAAATGAGCAGATTGTAGACTAAGATGAATAATTTCTGGATTATTTTGAATGAGCTGCTGTTTTCATGGATGATTTGTAAATGATGTCTGTCCAAAAATTGTATTTAGATTCATTTGAGTGTCATTCAACTTTATGTGCTTCAAGCTCTTATGGATTGAGGAACCTAATGCCAAAATCGCACTAATTAGCTAGATTCTTGCCATCGTAGTCTTTATTAAGCATCATACCAACCTAATTCAAATTTTAACTTAACTTTGTCAAGGCAAAACCTAGATCATATTCAAGTATGTGCCATAATTCCTTTACAAACCATTCCTAAGTTCATCTTTGCTTCGTTTGCCACTGTCTTGGTTATACTCCTAGCTACTCTCGTAATAAAACCATAGACTAGTGTAAAGGCTCTTGTAAGACAGCATTTGGACCAAACTTTGACTAATTTCAAACCACAATCTAAGAAAAAACTCATCCCAAAGGTCAACCACAGCTATATCAATAAAACTACAAAATCTAGATCATTTCTCTAAAAAGTCATTCGAAATGCATGAAATGCAAACATAAAACTAATAGAAAAGAGCTTTCTCATGTCAACTTTCCATTAATTTTTGTCTGTATTCAGTCAGATGTATGAAAATCACATTCATATGTATAATATGTCTCCAAATGCAAATGAATCATTCTTATTCAAATGACTTAATTCTTTCAAATAGAACATTCATTACAGAATGAAAAAAATCATCATCATCGTCATTATGAATTGTATTGAAATTAAAAAAAATATGGGCGCATCATGCGATTTATGCACAAACTTGCTACTGCATTTTTATTTTAAATTCAATTATTCTTATTTCATTATGACATGCAATTCAGTTCTACATTCATAAATTATTTTTTTTTGCTCTCCTTCATTTCATTGTTTTGTCATTCTAATGTTATTATTATTAACTTTTGTGACAATGCATTGCTACATATGATATAATTATGATTGTGATGATGATACTGTTGAAGTCATACACACGCCCAATAGCTATTGTTCTGTATTAAATTAATAGAGTGCAATGGATTTCTAATATTATTCATTGTGCAGATTTTTAAATTCTTTATTTTATTTGTAAAATATGAAGTTAGGTTAAGGGGTCGTTCACTTATGACGTCCGAAATTAACGGTCATTTTTCAAAAAAGAACAATGGAATTTCAGGAATTTCTATTGTTCTGTTCTCGCTGACCCAACCCCCCCCCCCTCCCCCTGGACGTCATAAGTGAAAGGCTAAGTTTGATTTTTTATTATAAGGCATTTGGCCTTACTAGGTTTCCTCATATAGTCACTCGTGTCTACAAATATCCACCTCCCACCAACATGACTGTTTCCCAAAACCCCAAAAAATAATTAAACTTCGTAACAAAGTCAAAATAATACAGGAAAATCTCATAATCTAGGCAGTCAGACCCACGGAAAATAATAATAAAATAATTACCATACAAAAGCAATTTCTATGAATATTAACGACCACTAATCATACGCATAAAAAATGTAATTTTAATTATATCAATAATAATTTG